TTGTTGTTGTTTTTGTTTGCTGTTATGAAAAAATACTCAGCAATGACATAACTGACAAGGGTTCTTGAATTTATAAATTTCAATCAATCAATCAATCAATAAATTTATAAATCTCTAGAATTTACAGAAAACTCCAACACCTCAATAACAAAAAGACAAATAATCCAATTAAAAAATGGGCAGAAGACATGAATAGACAACTTCACCAAAGAGGATATTCAGGCAGCCAACAAACATATGAAGAAAAGCTCACGATCGTTAGCCATTAGAGAGATGTATGTGAACTGCTGTATAGAAAATGAATTTGCTCTGTAAATTTTCACTCAAATCACACGCACACAAAAAAAGATGGACACAGAAATACCATGTTGCTGTGATTGTTGTTATGTGCTGTTGAGTCTGACCCAACTCATAGTGACTGCTCCTTGGGTTTCTGAGGCAGTATCACTACAAAAGTAGATTGCCCAACTGTCCTTCTGAGGAACGGCTGGTAGGTTTGAACCACCACCCTTCTGGTTAGCAGTCAAGGTACTATGCTACCAGAGCTCTGACAGAAATAACATATAACCCAGCAATCCCATCACTAGCTTAATATCCTAAAGAAGTGAGAACCTGACACAAATAGATATATGCACATCCATGTTCATCACAGCACTAGTCATAATTGCAAAGAAATGGAAACAATTTAAATGCCCATCATCAGAGCAATGGATAATCAACTCTGGTAAATATACAGAATGGAATACTATGCAACACTAAAGAATAATGTAGACCATATAACATGGATGAACATGGAAGACATTATGGTAAGTGAAATAAGTCAATCACAGAAGCACAAATATTGTATTAGTCCATTATTGTAACAGTGAAGGAAAGGTATGTATATGGAAGGAAATTTTCTTTGTTGGTTACCAGGGATGGGAGAGGAGGGGAGCAAACACTGCTAGAGAGGCTCTGGTGGGGTAGTGTGTAAGGTATTTGGCTGCTAACCAGGAGGTCAGCAGTTCAAACCCACCAGATGCTCTGCAGAAGGAAGATGGGGCAATTTACTTCTAATTTTGTTTCTCTAGAGAACCTAGTCTAACACTATATCTATCTATATCTATCTATATATACACCAAAGATACATATATATCTGTATCTATATATCTACCAAAGATTATTAGTGGTTACCAGGAGTAGGAGCAGGGAGGAAATGGGAATCTTTTGTTTGTGTGGCATTGAGTTTACGCTAACGGTGGTAGAATATTTTGGAAAAGGGCAGCAATAATGGTGGCACAAGATGAAAATGTCATCAATGTCCCTGAGCTGTAAATGTGGAAGTTGTTATGTTGGTAAACATCTTGGTGTGTACATTTTTACCACAATAAAAGTACAAAAAAAAAAAAAAAAGAGAGAGAGAACTAACATTTCTTTGGCAATTGCTATATGCCAAATACTTTATATATTTTTTCATAAACTGTCCATGACAATTTACTTGTAAGTTAGATTAAAAACTTACGGTCAAAAGACAGAGAGAGTTACATGGGCAGTACAAACAACAAATATGAACCCTTTTGCAAATACAATACTGAGTTGTCAATGAAAGCAAACATGGGTATAGGGACGGATAGATGGGTGAACAAGCTAAACAATTATGTATGTCTAAATGGAGAGTGTATCCAAGATCATATACAGGGTTGGCAGACAATGGGCCTCTCAGGGTGCAGAAGAGTATGAAGGGATGGACACTGGGAGGAGGTAACTATGGGGAGGAAGTGGGAGGGGAGCTGCTGCATTGTAAATTTTGGTCAATGACATGAGACAAAGTATATGTGAACTGCTGTATGAAAAGTGAATTTACTCTGTAAATCTTCACCCAAATCCTAATAAAAAAAAAAAAAAAACTTACGGTCAGCGAGTTTTGTCCAAGGTCCCATGTCTAGTAAGTTGGAGTTGGGCCAGGCTCATAGGACACTAAGTGTGACTTAAAGTTCATTCTCCCCTACATTACACACTGCAAGCACAGCAGATGCTCAAAAGACTGGCTGAATTAAGGAAAGAATGGGATTTACTTACATTGTTGTTGGTCACAGCAAAGTACTGCAAATTACTCAGATACTGGATTTCTTCTGGAATGAAGGTCAGGTGGTTATAGCTTAGATCCAAATAATGTAGTTTGGTGCATAGGAAAAGCTGCAGGGGCAGATTCTCAATATTATTATGGTCCAAAGAGAGCTGCTCTAGGTTAGATAATGCCCCAATTTGGGCAGGAATATAAGCAATGTTATTATGCCACAACTTCAAGCAGGAAAGATTTTGGAGATGCTGAAAGCTAATGATCTCCTCCACAGTTTTCAGGTTATTTTCTTTTAGGTCTAACTCATGCAAATTGTTCAGGCTGAAAATGGAGTGTGGAATGCGTTCTAGGTCACAGCTGATTAGCTCTAGGCTTTTCAGATTGACCATCTTTTTCAAGTTGTTCAACACAACCAGTTTGCTTCCCTCGTTATCGAGGGACAACTTCTGCAGAGAAGGCAGGAGGTCTGTCACAACTTGTGGGATCCGGGAGAGGCTGCTCTTCAAATAGAGAGTCCTTAGGTTTTTTAAGTCCTGAAAGCCCTCCATCTGCATGGTGCTCAAGTGCTCAGGCAGGACACAGCCTGACAGATAAAGTTCCTTAAGATTCTTCAGGTGAAACACCCAGCGTGGGATTTTTCCCATTTCAGTAAATTTCAGGCGTAAGATTTTTAAATTCTCCTCTAGAAAGGCCAGTGCAGGATGGTCTACCACCAGAGAGGAATGGTACACATGAAGCTCCTTGAGGTTGATCAGCTGAGAGATTGTGGAGGGCAGCTTGACCTCAGGGATAAGTTCCAGGCTTAGCACTTCGATTTCAGTGAGCTCAAAGACATTGTCTGGGAGACCGCTGAGCATGAAAAGATGCAGTTCTATCTTGTCCTGGGAATTTTTCACAAGCTTACTTTTCAGTTTCTCAACTGTCCATTCATTATTGAGGTTGATCTGTTTCAGTTTGTTCTCACTGACCTCTGACAAGAATATGGAGAAGCGTTTGGAATAAAGAGGATCATACTGATCAGCCAAATGCAAGATGAAGGCAAAATCATTCTTGACGTCAGGAATATCACTGTAGTTGCTTTTTTCTCTTAATGCCTCAAAGGAATACTGCTTCAGGGAACTCCGCAGCATCCACCACAAGCTGTAGGAGGAGGTAAGACCATAAAGTATAACCAAAATGACATAAAATGAAGCCAGGACTTTAAATATTTCTGCCAAGGAGTAGACACACTGGTAGCGCTTATATCCTGTAAAAGCCTGTACATCAATGGAACAGTCGATTTCAAGAGTGATATAGGTTAAAAAATAGGGAACATAAGTTATGATTAGAGCAAACAAAATGACCTTGACTATTATCTGCTTCAGATACACTCTATAAATGATATCTTTCTGCTCCACATGCATGCGGAATCTTTTCACTTTTTCAAAGATGGCTTTGGCCTGTTCCCCCTCCTTCTTGTCGAGGACACTGGAGGTTGGGCTTTCTATGCCAGCTGACTCCAAGCCCGGCTGTGGGTAGGGCAATGACTGCTTGTTGGAATCAATGTCGGCTGAACACCCTGAGGATGAAAGCAAAACCTTGGACTTGGAGATTGTCAGGGGCCTCACTGACTGCTCGGCTACTGTTTCCGATAGGGCGCGGGTGGTCCATGGGGAATCAAAGCACTTGTGAAGAATGGCCACAAAATGCTCAAGCCTGGAACTGGTACTGGGATAGTGAAGCCAAAAGTTGCTGCAGGCTGCAAAGATGAGTGTGTGCAGGAGCACCAGGTAAGGGAAGAACTTGGCGAACCAATGGAGCTGTTTCTCATAACAGACGGCATCGATGTAGGAGTACTGCTGCCGATGGAGGTCATTCTGGATTCTCAGGGGGAGCAGGGGCAGGGCTGCACGTTCAGAGGACATATTCATGCTTGCTTTCAGGATGTCCCAAGGCACGGCACAATGATTGTCAAATTCTACCTTACACGGAAGACAGCACAAAACCCTGCTCTGTGTGAGCTGGAGCGCTCCAGCCAGCACGGCCACCAGCAGCATGATCAGGGTGATGTAATACCAGAAGACATCCCACCATGGTTTTAAGATGTGATAAGATGACTGGGCATCTGCTAAACATTTTAGCTCTGTTAGTGTAATCATGACTTTCACTTGTAGGAGTACAGAAACTGGAAGAGGAAAACAAAAGAGAAACCACTGAAGCAAATGCCCAAAAGAAGCATTTCACTCTAATGGTTGCACATGCATACCCTACCCAGTTTATTTAGTTAGCTCAGAGGACAAAACCTAGGAGACAGAATGGGTCAAGTGGCACATAAGCCTTCTGGTTTCACCTGTAATTTTAGGCTATGCTAACTTTGCACTGTAAAGTCCTTGAGATGGGAAACTATTTGGCAAAGGCCAGGCTGGATCTGTAAGGGTGCATAGGGGCAGGAATTGAGTCAATTAACTAGTTACTTCCTGGATCTTGGCCAGGAGCCAATAATTCTTCAACTAAAATTGGGAAAACTTATTGTTGTGCTACAGCTTTCTAACAATCACAATTTATACCCTCCAAAAGTTCTGAAATAAGCTCTGTTCCATGCCTCACTCATATGTTTGAAACATCAGCTACAGCCTGGGGTTGTGTTGTAATCACTACAAACCAAACTCACTGCCAGTGAGCCAATTCCAATGCATAGCGACCCTACAGGAGAGAGTAGAACTTCCCATAGGGTTTCCAAGGCTATAAAATCTTTTATGGAAGCGACTGTCTCTTTCTCCCATGGAGTGGCTGGTGGGTTTTAATCACTGACCTTTTGGTTAGCAGCCAAATGATTTAACCACTATGGCACCAGAGCTCCTTAATCATGACAAGGAACTCCCTTTGAGGAAGCACCACTTAATAAAATTATTCCATAAGCTTCGAAAGAATCTACTGATTCTGTGCTCAAAAAATGTCATTTAATGCATTTTCTCCTTTTTCCTTCCAGGTTCTTGCTTTGTAATTTAAGTACATGTCCAATTTAGAGTATTTAAAAGTTGGGAAACAAAATGAACAGCTTAAAAAGGGATAAAGGGGAGAAACTCAACTACAACACTCCACTATGTGGATTCTCTCATGTTTAATGTTTTGGTTCAAAGTATTAATAAGATTAATCATAAATGACATACTCTATTATTAAGTTATTTTTACTGTCAGAAAAACTAGATGGATTTTATATTTCTATACTGAAAAGTGTAGGAGCTTTGGTAGCATAATGCCTTAAGGCATTTGACTACTAACCAGAAGGTTGGTTGTTCAAACCCACCAGCCACTCCTCAGAAGGAAGGTTGGGCAATCTACTTCCATAGTGATACTGCCTCGGAAACCCAAGGACTATGAGTCAGGTCTGCTATGAGTCAGGTCCGACTTGACTGCACATAACAACAACAACATACTGAACAGTATTTAGATAATCTCCTAGGAAATTTTCTCAGCCTTACATAAATCAATCTTTTAAAAAACTGCTAATTAGTAATAGCCAGACCATCTGTAAGATGGCACAGATTAAGATAAATAAAGGGAAATATTTGGATCTTACAAAGAACAATAAGGCACTCTAGTGGCATATTGCCTAAGGCTAACCAGACGGTTGGTGGTTCAAACCTACCAGCCACTCCGTGGAAGGAAATGAGGCAATCCACTTCCATAAAGATTCACTGCCTTGGAAACCCAATGGGGGTGGCTATGAGTAAGAATCGACTGGATGGCAGTTTTTTTTTTTTTTTAAATAAAGTATGACAAGAAAAAGGAGCTCTGGCGGCACAATGACTAAGGTATCTGGCTGCTAACTAGAAGGTTGGTGGTTCAAACCCACCAGCTACTCTGCAGAAGCAAGATTGAGCAATCCCTTCTGCAAAAATTTACTGCCTCAGAAACCCAACGGAGGTCGCTATGAGCTGGAATCTACTCGATGGCAGTGGGTTTGGTTTTTTTCGGATGTTAAAAAAAAAAAGAAAAAAAAGTCATGGTGGCATGGTCAGCCTTCACTCTACTTTTGTTTTTATCATTTTTCTGGACCTGAGTTTCTCTCTAGATACCTTAGTATTGGTAGTTCCCCCCTACCTCACTAGTTATTCTTCCAAGGACTGGTATCCTTCTTGAAAACCAGAATACCATTACAGAGTCTGTGGTAGTTACGGTTGAGTCTGGTTTTGAGTAGCTGAGCAGCTTGATGTAGCTATTCCCCATGGTGAGATTGGTAATCAAGTCCATGGTGGAATATACTGTGAGCAGCTGAGATGTGGTCTGCTCCCAATACATAAGGAGAAGCTTTAGGAATGGTCTCTGAGCTTTTGGCACGCTTGAATCCTACATGTAGCTGACCCATTATTCAGCAGCCTGCCATGTTGTCTGTTGATCTTGGGATTCTTAATGGACTTGAATCAATGGCCTGCCATGTGGTTTGGTAATATCGGGACTGTGCCATTTTATTTGTTGACCTTGGACTTGCTAGCCTCAGTAGCTAGTAGCTGCATGAGGGAAAAGACACCTCTAGCTCTAGTGGACTGGAAACAAGAGGCAGAGCTGAAGCCCAAGGTCAGGGGACTTTCACCTAGCTCCTAGAGCCTGGCACTTTGAACTCAGACTTCTAGCCTTTAAAACTGTAAAAGAATAGACTTCTATTTGTTAAAGCTACCCATTTGTGGTATCTTTTGTTAGAACGGCAGCAGAGGTAACGAAAGCAGAGGTCCTCCTATCTGTTAAACTGGTCAGCTTGAACAGATTCCTGACCATCTGATCCTGGACCACACAATTTCATGCTGTCCCATTAGGGCATCTCATGGTCCCTGATTTTAACTGACAGACTGAAGCACCACTTTCTCTGTGCATAAAGGATATATATCCATATTGTATTATGGATTCAACTTCCTTTTAGGAGTTGCAGCTTGATTATATAATTCTCCAGAGTTTTTCTCCTTACTCTAGTTTATTAGTTATGATTGAGTTGACTCCAACTCACAGCAATCCTATGAGTGTCAGGGCAGAACTGTGCTCCACATGGTTTTTAATGGCTGATTTTTTGGAAGTAGATCCTAGGCCTTTCTTTTGGGTGGACTTGAACCTCCAACCTTTTCAGTTTGTTAACTGTTTGTACCATCCAGTAATAATTTACTCTAGTTTAGAGGGTCTATTTCTAATTCTCAACTCCTTCCATTCTGCCTCACCCTACCGTAGTTAACCAGAATTGTGTGCCAAGGCAAGACAAAACAAAAATGAGGATTATAAGAGAAAAATGAAAAGTCTTCGACTTAGACTTCAAAATATCATAAAACATGGTGGGAGTGGGGATGGTGGAAAACATTGCTGGATGAGAGAACATGGGAAAAACACCTAGGGATTTGAGTTGACGTGTACTTTGGGCTAATTGTGCCACAGTTATTATGCTAAAATGCAGCAATTACAACTTTTGGCTGTATTACTAGGTGGACCCAGATAAAGAGGCCACAGTCTTGTGCATGCCTAGTAAGATCACATCTGGAACCCAATGTCAGTTACAGGTCAAAGATGAAATGGGTAACAAAATAACCAGGAGATACTTATCTACAAACCATTTCCTACAGAAGAATATAGGTAACTGATGATGTTCAGCTAAAGTAAAAGAAGACTTAGGGGTCTAAGAATTTATCTTTACATTTTTGTACCATGAACTGATGGATGATAGAATGTTTGTTCCAGAAGCAGAACTAGGTGGATAGAAGTTTTGGAAAGTTCTATTTTGATTCAATCTGAGGTGGAACATTATGGAACTGGCTGTTCTATGAAAGAGGTAAGCCCTCCTGTCTTTACCAGGGTCTAAATGACTAAGATGACTATGCATCAAGGATGCTGCAAAGGAATTTTTTGCAATGGAGAAGAATGGACCAGATAATCTCTAAGGGCTCTCCCAGCTTAAGTTTATGGTTTTATTTCTCCTCTCAAGACATTGAGGAAGAATGTAAAGTTAAACATCTCTAACAAGAGAATGTGACAGAGTGATTATTCAACATGGAATGTAACACTGTCACTAAACAATTTGTGTACTAATTGTTAAGTGAGAACCTAATTTGCTGTGCAAACTTTCACTGAAAACACAATAAAATATTATTTAACATATGAAAAACAGAACAAGGAAATATAAATCAGAATTGACCAAACTTACACATTTAAATATTTATACTTACTATAATAAAAATAAATAAATTTAAAAAAGTTGAATATGCTTCAGTCAGGAGGTCTACACCTTTTGAAATTTCTTAGACACACCATCTCTGTGTTTGTCTTCATTCTATGAGAAAGCACAGGTAATCTTGAAATAGCTACAGTCATTCAAGCAAACAAACAAGAGATAATGTCTTTAGAGATCCTCTCCATTATAAGATATGATTTAGTAAAGCAAAGTCAGTTCATTTTTCACTGGGGCACTACTGGCAAATCAGTATATACAGAGCCCCATGCACACATCAGACCATATTCACTCCCTAAGCTACCTCTCAACTACAGAGAAGTCTGTATAATAATTTAGATGAAACATATTTTAAAATCCTATAACACTTGGCTTTTCTGAAACAGTCTACATATGTTTATTTTTCACTCCATCCTTATAAATAGCCAGTTCTACTTGCATTTATCAGATGGCTTGTCAAAAGATTGTCAAATCAAATGACTTGTGCACCCTTATTACAAACCACATGTCTATCCAAAAAAGAAGTCTCAGTATTTGTAAAATTTAGTCCACCAATTAGAAAAAGTCAAAAGTTTATATACTTTTCCAGACATAGCTCAGTTAGGGCTGAAATTATTTTTAAATAGAGTCAGACTTTATATTAATTTTTTTTCACTTGAAAATTTAATAAAAGCCATGCTAAGCATGTCTGAAATTGACCAAACATGCAATCAGGATGTGTTAATTATCACTGGTGACTGGAATGCAAAAGTTGGAAACAAAGAAGAATCACTAGTAGTTGGAAAATTTGTCCTTGGTGACAGAAATGATGCTGGAAATCGCATGACAGAATTTTGCTAGACCAACGACTTTTCATTGCAAATACTTTTTACAACAACACAAAAGGCAGCTATACACGTGGACTTCACCAGATGTAATACACAGGAATCAGATTGACTACATCTTTGGCAAGAGGCAATGGAAAAGCTCAGTATTTCTAGCCAAAACTAGGCCAGGAGCTGATTGTGGAACAGACCATCAACTGCTCTTACGCAAGTTCAACTTGATGTTAAAGACAGTTAAAACAAGTCAACGAGAGCGAAAATATGATCTTGATCCCTCCTGAATTTAGAGACTGTGGTGTGGTAAATTACTTAGTGTGGGTTTTCTACCCATAAGTCTTTGTAAACTCAGTGGTGGAATGAACAACTGAGAAGCTCCCAATTGTAAATGTTATCCACCTGGGGTATTTTTGTTGGGCATGGCACAATGCAATGTTCTGGGAGGCTCACTCTCTCAGGTGCTTAGAATTCTGGTGCTATGATTGGCTAGTTTGGCCACTCTGCCAGGCTCAAAAGGAGGCCTCCCAGAAGCAGAACTCTCTCTGCCTCCTGGTTGAGGAAGACATGCTGCTGAAAGGGACATGCACTCCTGAAAGAGACATAAGGGACATGCACTGCTGAGAGAGAAACCAAGGGACATGCACAGCTGGGAGAGAGATTGAGAGAGACTGTTGGTTGAGAGATGGCAGGCTGGAAGAGAGACTAAGCATTTTTCCTGAACTTGAATTGTAGCCTGGTGATTCCCTAATAAACCTCATAATCTGTGAGTTCTGTGTGGCCACTGCAGTGAATTATCGAACCCAGGAGAGAGGTGGTGGGTGCTTTGGGAGGAACAGTTGGTGAAAGGGCTGGAGGGAGGCAGTATGTCTGGCCTTGCAGTAATAGGCTTTGGTTACTGATAGTGATTCTGTCTTCCTCTTGTGGGGTTAGAGGAGGTCAGGGAATGTGGTCTCCTTGCCCTTTTTGCAGAGACAATCTAAAGAATACATTTAATGCATTGAACACCAGTGACTGAAAACCAGAAGAATTGTAGCATGACATCAAGAACATATCCATGTAGAAAGCAAGAAGTCACTAAAAAGAGGAGAAAAGAAGAAAAGACCAAAATGAATGTCAGAAGAGACTCTGAAACTTGCCCTTGAGCAGAGAGTAGCTAAAGCCAATGGAAGAAATGACAAGATAAAAGATCTAAACAGATTTCAAAGAGCAGCTCAAGCAGACAAAGCTAATTACTATAATGAAATGTGCAAAGACTTGGAGTTAGAAAACCAAAAGGGAAGAACATGCTCAGCATTTCTCAAGCTGAAAGAACTGAAGAAAAAATTAAACCTCGAGTTTCAATATTGAAAGATTCTATGGGCAAAATATTGAATGATGCAGGACACATCAAAAGAAGATAGAAGGAATACACAGAGTCACCGTACCAAAAAGAACTGATAGATCTTTATCCATTTCAGAAGTGGCATATGATCAAGAAACAATGGTATTGAAGGAAGAAGTCAAAGCTGCACTGAAGGAATTGGCAAAGAACAAGGTTCCAGGAATTGACGGAATACCCATTGAGATATTTCAACAAATGGATGCCCCACTGGAGGCACTCACTCAGTTATGCCAAGAGATTTGGAAGACTGCTACCTGGCCAACTGGCCAACTGACTGGAAGAGATCCATACCCATTCCAAAGAAACATGATCCCACAGAATGTGGAAATCATCAAACAATATCATTAATATTGCACACAAGTAAGATCTCACTGAAGATAATTAAAAAACAGTTGCAGTACTATATTGACAGAGAACTTCCAGAGGTGCAAGATGGATTCAGAAGAGGATGTAGAACAAGGGATATCATAGCTGTTGTCAGATGGATCTTGGCTCAAGGCAAAGGATACCAGAAAGATGTTTACTTATGTTTTATTGACTATGCAAAGGCATTTGATTGTGTGGATCATAACAAATTGCGGATGACATTGAGAAGAATGGGAATTCCACAACACATGATTATGCTCATGAGGAACCTGTACATTGACCAGGAGGCTGTTGTTTGAACAGAACAATGGGACACTGCATGGTTTAAAATCAAGAAGGGAGTGCGTCAGGGTTGTATCCTTTCCCCATACTTATTCAATCTGTATGCCAAGAAATAATCTGAGAAACTGGACTATATGAAGAAAAATGTGGCATCAAGATTGGAGGAAGAATCATTAACAACTTGCGATATGCTGACGATACAACTTTGCCTGCTGAAAGTGAGGATGACTTCAGGCACTTACTGATGAAGACTGAACAAAGAGTCAGCAGTGTGAATTACACCTCAATATAAAGAAAACAAAATCCTCACAATTGGACCTATAAGCACATCATGATAAATGGAAAAAAGATTGAAGTTGTCAAAGACTTCACATTGCTTGGTTCTACAATCAACACCAATGGAAACAGCAATCAGGACATTAGACAACTGCAAAAATGGCAAGGAGGCCACATGTTCTGACCTCCTCTAATCTCACAGAGGAAGACAGCAGTAACCCAAGGCCTATTACTGCAAGGCCAAACA